TATCTGCACCTTCATGTTCACTGCAGCATTATTTACAACAGCCAGAACATTGAAACAATGTATATGTATATTTCAGATCCAACATACTAACAATTCCTCTCCTTCTTTATAATATATATATATATATATATATATATATTCAAATATTATTCGGCCATAAAAAAAGAAGGAAATTCTGTCATTTGCAACAACATGGATGGAACTTGAGGACATTACAATAAATGAAATAAGTCAGACAAAGACAAATTCTGTATGATCTCGCTAACAAGCCTGACCCCGTAGACACAGGGGACAGGTTGATGGTTGTTAGAGGCAGGAGTAAGGGGTGTCCTTCTGCATTTCCTTCAATATGTCAACATTTATTATCTCAGGCATGAGGTCACCCTAGTCAGAAATATTGACACAATAGTTCCTTGGGGACAGTATTTAGCATGGTTCCCACCTGCAGGACCTGCTGAATAGTTTTTAACATAAATGATCACTTGACAATTTACCACATTTGTTGTTTACAGTTTTGCATATGATGTTCTACTTAACTTTCATAGAGTAGATAACAGAAACAAATGAATTAACAGAAGTAACCATTTGACAATTTAAGTGTAGAGAATGTTGGTGGCAACTCAAGGATTGATGGTGGATTGCTTCTGGATTGTGAAAGAAAATGGAGGCACAGCATGGAAGTGTGTTTTTAGTAGAGGGAGAGAGAGGAAGGTGGTGACAAAAGAGAAGAGCAGATGTTTGGGGACGGAAAGAGAAAATGGAGAGAACTTTTTTGAACTAAAGGGAGAATGTTACCTATCTAACTCTTCTTTTTCTTCAAATCTCAGGCCAAACCTCATCTCTTTCAGAAAGCCTTCTAGCATTTTCTATCTATCTGTACAATGAATCTGCCAGTTAACTGTGTACTATTATGACCTATTTTTTTTAATTTTTAATTTTTATTCATTTATTTATTTATTTTTAGCTGAGCCATCCTGCCACCTGTTAGCAGCTCAGCGGCAGCTCAGCTCGGGCTGGGAATTGAACCGCTATTGCTCAGAGCTCGCACTCTTGAGTGAGCTCTTAACCAACTGAGCCACTCGGCCAGCCCAATGACCTATTTTAAATGGTTAATGAAACCTTTGGGATGTTGTTTAGCATTCTCCAGGGTTGTGGCTTCTCTTTCATATTAGATTTAGAATGACTGGGAGTCAAAGGCTATTTCTGATCAATTCTAACCTTTGTTTACAATGCCTAGCATGGTTGTTGTCACAGAAAGTTCATTAACTGGGAGAAAGAACGACATAACTTGTGTGGAAAGGAGGTGACAGGAGGCAGCGTGGATGGGGAGAGGACATAGGGATTAGGTGCAAGGATGGATGAGAGGGAAGGCTGTGTTGGGTGTGGCAGGTGAGAGGAGGATGGAAAGGAGCTGCCTTCTGCCCACGGCTACCCACTGACTATGTTTAGATGCTGCAGGGGGATGTAAGTAGGGCTCTTTCAGTTTCTTTTCTTGAGAATTGTGTTCAATTTTGGTGATTTCCTCTTAAAAGTGAATTTAAATTAGAAGGACATGCACTTGAGCACATTCATAGCACTTGGATTTGTGTACTGGCCTGTGAATGTTTACACACATGTTTACACACCCATAAATATATATAGGCTTTACACTTTGATATTTTCCAATTTTTGTTTAATGATCATTAATAACATTTAAAAATAAAAGAAAAAATAATTTCTAAATTTCAGCAACGTTTTGACCAATTGAAGTGGATTTGAAATAATCAAGATGCATTGAATAGAATTCACCTGTGGTTAAAACAATAGTCTGGTATATGAGTTCATTTGAAGGAAAATGTACCTTTCACATTCAGATCCAACATACTAACAATTCCTCTCTAATTTTCTATTTATGCTAATAGGATATCTCCAAGTTTGCAGAGAAAGACAATATAGTTCTCGGAGAAGGTGGCATCACACTGAGTGGAGGGCAGCGAGCAAGAATTTCTTTAGCAAGGTGAAGATCTAATTATTGGTCCAGTGAACATTCACTGTAAATATCATGCATGTAAAAAATCATAGACTTTTCTCTATTTCTTTAAATTCTGTTTGGTGTTTGAAAAGTGCCTGGGGTCTTATGAGGAGCTGGTTAAGAGTCACCTTTAAGAACTGTAGATCACGATCTATTGTAGTATTCACATTTGCTAAAGATGATGGCCTTTTCAAAATGCATGCCCTTATTTTGGTGTGTGTATATTTGTTTGCCTTATGGTGCATTTTACTACAAAGGAAAACTCTGGGAGTCTGCATGGCACAAGGAAAGATGAGATGGACATTCTGTTAAGTCCCTCACACAGCCTCTTGCTCACCACCACCCCACAATGAATACACCTGCTCTAGACCTCTGTTTATGCTTCTTGGTGTAGATAAACATACATATTCAAATTTTTCAACATAATAGTTCTCATAACAAGAATAGCAAGGCAAATGACGTCACCTGGCTTAAGGTTTGTAATCTTTAAAGACGAATAAGACAAGCACGTCTGACACTGTGGAGGGCAGTTCCACTGGCAGAGACCTTCTTGGTCTAAGCATTTGAAACTGTCAGGGAGAGAAGCACATACAGTTTATTTCTGTCAAGAAGAAAACTTTGTCGTTAAACTGTAACTGTTCATTTAAAAAATTATTGGTGATATGGGATTTCAAATGTTCCTCTAGTTTTGTTTGAAGAAAATTCTTCTTTCTGTGTTGCCAAAGTTGTTAACTAGAATTCATATTGACTTACGAATATGCTGGCTTCTTTCTCTTAATTTTTTCTGCTTTTAAAAGCTGGGACAGAAAAGTAACTCACTGGGCACCTGCAATTGCCTAGTAATACTTTAGTGTGTGTGTGTGTGTGTGTGTGTGTGAGAGAGAGAGAGAGAGAGAGAGAGAGAGAGAGAGAGAGAGAGAGAAAGGTTTCACTTAATCCGCATATCACCCTGTAAAGATAAGATTTTTCTCCCACTTTATGGAAAAAATCGTGAGATAATTGAGGCTGTTAGATCTCAGCACATAACATGGTACTTGTCCCTAAAGAAATACTATTGTTAAGAGATTTTTTTTTCTATTTAAGGTAATGTTTTAAATTGCATGGTATGGTGTGATTCAATTTATAACTTTTGCTAGTTTATGTCAATTACATTTAGCAAAGCCACCTCAGCAGTTCTTGGAATGTTGTGAAAAACCGTAAAAATCGTGTGTGACTTATTATTCTTTGCTTAAAATCACCTCTACTAAATGACATGAGAAATACTGAGGAAATCTCATTTTATTTTCATTTTCTTTTTAGAGCAGTATATAAAGATGCTGATTTGTACCTATTAGACTCTCCTTTTGGATACCTAGATGTTTTAACAGAAAAAGAAATATTTGAAAGGTATGTTCTTTGACTAACTTATAATGCTCATTGTGAAAGACAAAGAAAGAAGGACTATACCACCGTAGACTGCATATTACCCCTTGAGAAATATTCCCAACATTGTGCCTCAGTCTGAAAGAAAGTGACATAGCACTTACTCAAACCTGATTTTCCCTTCACAGTCAAGATTCAAGGTGACTTCCTCGAAAACTGACCACCTCGGGCTAAACCAATGTCTTCCATTGCTATTGCTTTAACCATCACTATCTATGCAGTTTTTACAGTATTTTTGCCTTGTGGCATGTTATTTTAATTGGTTATTTTACTTTAAATTTCTATTTGCATTTTTGTGTGTTTTATTCTATCTCCTTCTTAGATGGTAAACTTCTTAAGAAATTGAAAGAGCTGAATGTTTTAATGTTTAATGTAAGTGAAGGCTCGGACTATTCATCTCCCTCAGTACCCCCTTCAGAACCTCTTTCTCAGTCACACAGAGCAAGGGATTTTCATTCCATTGGTGCTCCCAATAAGCTCAAAGTATGGGAAGTTTCTAAGGGGAACAGTTAGTTATATGACCTGATCTCAAAGTTTCAAAATGATTTTATAGACTATAAAGTAGTTTATTAAGAGAATTATAATGAGACTCTTCTAGAAATAAAGATTTTAAGCAATAAGGATGTAGGTGTATGTTTGTATAAAATGTCGGCATTATTCCCAGAAGCACCTTTCCTAGAATTTAGTTAAATTTAATACCTAAGACACTATTTTTATAATACTGTGACTGTGATAAGTAACTTCTTAGCAATACAAAGTTTGCTAGCTATGTTGGTAAGTTAGAGTACAACCTAGAATGATGCTTCCTTCTATACAATATGTAATGTTTTAATGCCTGAAAGAAATTGGTCTCCCTTAGATGATTCTAGTCAAGATTTAGTTCTAGCCTAGAGGGAAATTTTATTAAAGGAGGGTCAGTTTATTATCTAATTCTCAGGTGTGTTGTTGTTGCTGTTTTAACAAATCAGATTAGTCTTAGTATAAGCTCTTGAAAACTAAATTGATGGTCAACTTAAAATGTAAAGGAAATTACTGGAAAATTTAAAGAATAAGAAGGCTCTGATGTTTTAGAAGATACATAGAAATATAGAACCCCGCCCCTCCAGAAATCTTAAAGTTTATCTGACAAGTCTCTCATTTTCTGGGTGAATAAACCAAGACCCAGAGGGTAACCAATTTGCTCAAAGTCAAACATTTATTTAATATAGATATTTATATTCTAGGTCTGTTAATACTCAACTTTATAATATACCATACTATAATAATTCGATCATATAGTATTTCATGCTATAATAACTCAAGAAGCACCAAATAATTATTACTGGGTATTTACTTTTAGAATTATTTTAAGTATAATAATAACATCATATCATAGAGGCTTTCTATAAGAGTAGATTAATAAAATGTTAAAATGCAACACATATAGTATTATAATAATGTGTTTTTAAAATTGATGTCTTATTTATATCTTTTTATGTTCTTCAAGCTGTGTCTGTAAACTGATGGCTAACAAAACTAGGATTTTGGTCACTTCTAAAATGGAACATTTAAAGAAAGCTGACAAAATATTAATTTTACATGAAGGTACCAGCTATTTTTATGGGACGTTTTCTGAATTACAAAATCTACGGCCCGACTTCAGCTCAAAGCTCATGGGATATGATTCTTTCGACCAGTTTAGTGCAGAAAGAAGAAATTCAATCTTAACTGAGACTTTACGGCGTTTCTCGTTTGAAGGAGATGCTGCTGTCCCCTGGAATGAAACAAAAAAACAGTCTTTTAAACAGACTGGAGAGTTTGGTGAAAAAAGGAAGAACTCTATTCTCAATCCAATCAATGCTATAAGAAAGTTTTCAGTTGTACAAAAGACTCCATTACAAATGAATGGAATCGAAGAGGATTCTGAAGAGTCTTCAGAGAGAAGGCTGTCCTTAGTTCCTGACTCTGAGCAGGGAGAGGCCATCCTGCCTCGAAGTAACATGGTAAACACCGGCCCCACATTTCAAGGACGAAGGAGGCAGTCTGTTCTGAACCTGATGACACACTCCTCGGTGAACCAAGGTCAAATCATTCATCGAAACACAGCAGCACCCACAAGAAAAATGTCACTGGCCCCTCAGGCACACTTTACTGAAATGGATATATATTCAAGACGGTTATCTCAAGACAGTGGTGTAGAAATAAGTGAAGAAATTAATGAGGAAGATTTAAAGGTGTGTATAAGTTATTAGTGTTTTTGGTTTTGCTTTTTTTTTTTTCCACAGAATACAACTGAGTGGAATGCAATATATAGTTTGTAAAAAAACTTAGTCAAATTATGGGTTTAGCATGAGGTTTACCTTAAGACTCCCAAAGTGCAAAGTCCATAATTATGTAAGCACCCTGAAAATGTAAAATAACCATTTCCTTTTGCAATGGACATATCTCTTCCCATAAAAATGTAAGTCAAAGCAAAGGCTAGTGTTGGGTTTACTAGACCAGTGAAAATCATTATCATAGATTAGAAAAATGATAACATCATTAAAAATTATTATAAATCTGATTTATTACCATCTTAAAACCTCTGTGGGAAGAGGTGGATTCTAAATAAATATATGAACAAATAATAGTTTCAGTGATTTAGAAACCAAGAAACATTTGTGTGGAGGCAGCCTATATAAGGTATATAAATGTCTAGTCTCTCAACAGAACCAACTTACATTCTGATTTATGTATCAGTCTTACCTGAATTTAATTAGTGTGGCTTTTTTTTATCTGTTAGATGTGCTTTATACATAGGATTTCTAGGCAGGTTTCTTTTAAAGTAGGTGTGTGAAACTCAACATATACTAGCGCCAACCTTCAGGTAAAAAGTTTTGTATATTAGGTTTTAAAGAATAAAATACTTTTATTCCTAAAATAGGAAGTAATATAAAAGGAGGGGTTTTATTTGTTTGTTTTTTGCGAGAAAAATTCCTTAAGTACCTTGAATGAAGCAGGCAGAGTTTTAATGAATTGATACGTTTAATCACATAGATCAATTAAGAGTAGTGTGATCCCTGGCAATCGTAACTCATTTAACATTGTTGGACCAAAATGTCTTTGTAAAATGAAGGAGCAGAATAGGTTATCTTTAAAATAGGTACTTTCAGTACTTCTATAATTTTAAAAAGGTTTCCTAAAGGGTAATTTATCTATGAGGTATGATCAACAAATACAGTGAATGTTTAAATAAGAAAAAATTGACTACAGTAAATGACGCATTGCCCTCACTTCGAACATACTTATCCCATCGTTCTTGCCACTTTCTGAAGCAGTTCTGGGAGTCCTCTTTCATGAGTGTCTTTACTTCATCCTCCATCATGACAACGCTCCATGTCACACATCGCTTTGGGGATATGGCAATTTCTGTTAAAACATTCTGGTGTGTCCGCATCCACCTTATTCCTCAGATCTGGCACCGTGCAACTTCTGGCTCTTCCCCAAAGTCAAAATGATTCAGGACATCGAGGCAGCCACAACAGCACAACTAAAGACACTCACTAAAGAGGACTTCCAGAAGTGCCTCAGAAAGTGGCAACAACGATGCGGTAAGTGTGTTCAAAGCAAGGGAGAGCGTTCTGAGGGGGATTAATGGCCATGTGTCTTTTACTGTAATAATTTTTTTTTATTATTTAAACATTCACCATATTTTTTATCACACCTCATAAGAGGTTTTAATACCAATCTGAATGAATTTCTCAAACCTGAGCCTATAAATTTAGTTGTAAAGAATGATTTCTTTGACTAATAATAGTTACTATTTGTTGATTGCTTGTAGTGCCAGGCAGCATATACTTAGTCCCCATTGGTACCCTAGAACATACCTATCATTATCCTCATTTACAGATAAGAAAACTAAAGTTTACAGAAATTCAGCTGCCCAAATTCAAGCAGCATCTAGGAAGTCAGTGGTGGAGTCCATATTCAAAGCTAGGTTTATTTGACTCCAAAAACCTTTACACCTAACCAAGGTACTATGTTCCAATTTCATAGGACCCCTTCTTTCAAGTTCCAGTGCTTCTTTTATGAATTGTGTTGACTTCATCAGAAGCAAAAGTATCCTTTCCCTTTGGACTATCTAGGCTTACTCTTTTTCAAATTTTTGAAATGCATCTGCTATAGGACAATGAAAACTTCTAGGGGAATATACTGATTAGAATTACGTAAGTTAAATCATCACTGGAAAGAAAGTTAATCCTAGGTTACTGAGAAATGTATTATACAAACATCGCTTGGACTTCAGGTCTACTAGGAGATCTCTATAGCTAGCAAAATTCCAAACTATTTGTCCATGGGCCCCTAAAGAAATGAGTTAGAACAAGGAGAGTTCTGGGAAGCATCAGTTTGATGGTACTGTTCATTTGATAAAGTTACACTGGTAAGCATTAAAATGATAACATTGTCCAAATATAATAGTTATATAATCAGTAATATATTTTCAGAATTTTCAATAATTACAGTGTTTCTCATTTTTCAAAAAGCTATGTTGCTCCAGTAAACATTAAACTGGCTGTAGAGTGGCATCACGCATGTCATTCAGGATGGTTTATACTTGTTGAAATGTGCTTAGCTTCAAATAATAATATTTCCTTATTTCCACACGTTCAAAATAAAACCACAGTGGAAGTGTGAATCTGTATAGTCTTGTTGTAATAACCATGGTTCTTTTTTTCAGGAGTGCTTTTTTGATGATGTGGAGAGCATACCAGCAGTGACTACATGGAATACATACCTTAGATATATTACTCTCCACAAGAACTTAATTTTTGCGCTAATTTGGTGCATAGTTGTTTTTCTGGCCGAGGTAAGAATTTTCTGTTGTAAAATGTTACTCTGATTTAAAGTTAAATTAAGAATAGTTTAGAAGGATATATGCATATATATGTACACTTGTATAAATGTATATACATAAATATAAGTATATATGCATATATGTAACTTTATATTGTATTGGATTGTCGGAAAAGTCATGACGCATTTTTGCAACAAAAAACATAGAAAAAAATATATCATGACTTTTCCGACAACCCAATATAATGGTACGGATAGTTTCATATAGTTCTACTGATATTTTATTTCATACATAGCATATAAAATAGACTTAAACACCTCTTTTCTATATGAAGAGTTTTTAATAGAGAGATTCAAAACCAGGCAGGTAGAATGCTTTTATATGGGTTGAAATTAAACACTGAAAATCATTCTGTACTAAATATTAAATTAATTTGACTCTATCTATTGAATTATTAAATATTCATGTGATGAATCACCACCTTTAAATGACTATTTCTTCACAAAATTGAACAAACATATATTAGTGGCTTAGTAATCATTGTACACAATCCTTTCAGAGATCTGAATTACCAACTTTGTTACAAAATTATTTTGTGTTCACTGCCACCACTGTGGTCTCTTTCCTGTGCACCTGCTGTCCTTATACCACCAGGTTACAAAACCAGCGCACTGGGCCTCCCGGTCAGATCACATCAACATAGGAGGTCCCTGAAGCTGACTGATCGATGAAACTGTTCTCAGATCAGGGAGCAGCTGCCTGAATGCCAAAAGGGCCTGGCAAAGAACAGTGTATGCAGTGAGGTGGCCTTTGGGCTCCAGGAGAATATCTGACATCCAGTTGTCTAAGGGGACAACTGTAACCTGGCACCAGCCAAGGACTTGCTATGAGGGAATTTGGGCTCAGTTTTGCTAAATCTTCATATTTATCAAGATAAGATGGAAATCTACATTTTCCTATAAAATTTTCCCTTTTTTTTTTGTTTTTGGACTCAGAGATGCCGGACTTAATTTTTTTAAAGATTTTTATTAAAATATAGCTAACATACAATATTATATTAGTTTCAGGAGTACACCATAGTTAGTCAATATTTATATACCTAAAGAAGTGATCACCATGAGAAGTCCAGCAACCATCTGACACCATACTATGCTATCACAATATTATTGACTATATTTCCTATGCTGTACATTAAATCCTCATGACTATTTTGTAACCACCAATTTGTACTTCTTAATCCCTTCACTGTTTTCACCCAACCCCCAACCCTCTTCCCATCTGGCAATCATCAGATGGTTCTCTGTGTCTATGAGTCTGTTTCTGTTTTGTTTGTTCAGTTATTTTGCTCTTTAGATTCCACATATAAGTGAAATCATGTGGTATTTGTCTTTCTCTGTCTGACTTATTTCACTCAGCATAATACCCCCTGGGTCCATCCATGTTGTTACAAATGATAAGATTTTCATTCTTTTCTCCAGCTGAGTAATATTCCATTGTATATATGTACCACTTCTATATCCAATTGTATTTTGATGAGCACTTAGTTTGCTTCCATATCTTGGCTTTTGTAAATAATGATGCAATGAACATAGGGGTGCATATAGCTTTTTGAATTAGTGTTTTGGATTTCTTTGGATAAATACCCAGAAGTGGAATTACTGGGTAGTTCTATTTTTAACTTTTTGAGGAACCTCCATATTGTTTTCCAGAGTGGCTGCACCAATTTGCAATCCCACCAACAGTGCACAAGTGTTCCCTTTTCTCCATGTCCTCACCAACACTTGTTTGTTGATTTATTGATAATAGCCATTCTAAGTTCTTTATAAATTTTGGATATTAACCCCTTATCAGATGTATCATTGGCAAATATCTTCTCCCATTCAGTCATTTGTTTTTTTGCTTGTTGATGGTTTCCTTCACTGTGCAAAAACTTTAGTTTGATGTAGTCCCATTTGTTTATTTATTTGTTTATTTTGTTTCTCTGCCTGAGGGAATACGTCAGAAAAAACATCAATAAGAGCAATGTCAGAGAGTTTACCGCTTATGTTTTCTTCCAGGAGTTTTATGGTTTCGGGTCTTATGTTTAAATCTTCAGTCATTGTTTAGTTTATTCTTGTATATGGTGTAATAAAGTGATCTAGTTCCAACTTTTTTGCATGTATCTGTCCAGTTTTCCCAACACCATTTATTGAATAGACTGTCTTTACTCCATTGTACATTTTTGCTTCCTTTGTCATAGATTAATTGACTATGTAAGTGTGGGTTTCTATTTGGATTCTCTATTCTGTTCCATTGATCTATGTGTCTGTTTTTATGGCAGTACCCTGCTGTTTGGTTACTGTAGCCTTGTAGTGTAGTTTGATGTCAGGTTCCCTACTACTGTTTTAAATTAGTAATCCAAATAGAGGCTCAATGTAAGATGCAGTTCGGCGTAATGCCAACGCTGGGATCAGCCTGAGCTGGCTGTGAATGCTGTCTTATTAACACTAGGAAACTGAACAAGTTAGTTAACCTCCCTGATCACCCATTTCCTCATCTATAAAGTGGAGGTTGTAGTAGTACCAGCTTCACAGGCCGTTTTTGTGGGTTAAGAGACATCATGATTAGAAAGCACTTAATGTGGGGTTTGGCGCACACTGAGCCATGCTAGCTGCTGTTGATGTCATTAATATCCTTAAAGTCATATCATCATTATAAAGCTTAAGATAATTTAAGGTGAAAAGTCCACAACACAGATATAATGAAAGTTTCAATAATTCTTTTTAACTTTAACAAAAATATGGGGTTGGGTAATTTGACACTCTCACATGAGTAATAAAAACTATTGAAATGTATTTTAAATTTACCTCACTAATCTCCACCAACCATGCCAAATGACCAACATTAATGTGAACAAATCCCAGCTCTGTGTCACATTTAATCTCAATCCAGCCCTGTATAATTCTTAATGTTTTGAACCTTTGCATTGAAACATCACATTTCTTTATTGTCTTCAATTTTATAGTGTTATGTAAGAAAAAATGGTCCTATCTGAATGTGGTGGTGATTTATGTTAATTTACAGGACTTTTGTCCTACGCAATTTATGCATCTTTCAAAATGGTGTATAATTAATTAATTAGTGATTGAGCATTGAGCTGCATGTGTGTACATTAGCTCACTTAAATTATTAGCTCGTTAATCAAGAAGACAGTGGTTCTTTGTCTGCGGTCTAGAAACTAAATTACAACAGAGGATATAAATGCTGAATAACTACCCATTATTAGCTGAGCTCTCATATATTGCAGAAAAAAAGAAGTCTTTTTTAGTAGACAAAACAGTTGATAATGCCATGTTCTAGGCAAGAAATAATATTGTAAATGATGAGCCTTTTTGGCCAATATCCTGGAGGCATTGCCAATTAACTGGCTCTCAAATTTTTGAATCACAAATACTTGGTGGTAGTGGACAAAGAGTAATGGTTTTAGTTACGTGCACAGTGATACAGCTAAACAAATCCTTCACTGACACTCACAATTCTGCTGCCTCCTTTGAATCAAAATTTACATAGTTTTTATTTTGGGTTGTGCCCCTTTCTTAATACCAGGGTGTCCATTTCTTACCCTCATTGAGCTATCTCATCAGTGCTTTGCATCATGGTACAGGTGATAACCAGGGAGATCATTTAGTTCTCCTAAACCTTCTAGAGCCTCATACTCCTTAAGACCAGAGAACCTAAAGAAAGGTTATGATACATTTCTTCCTTGCTGAAATTGATATCCATTTTTAGCTTTCATAGCAGCTGTACTTCAATTTAGATTTTATGATTTTGTAGAGTATGTTCAATATGCTTCTGTTTTACAGTATGAAATACGTAGTCTTTTTATTTTTTTCAAAATGCTAAGCTGAAAAAATTAGTTTGGTCTATTCAGTTGGTTACCACTTATTATTATTGTGTCATTTTGATAAAGGAGTCAGTCTACCCTTGTATTTTTGTACCATTTTCCATATTACAGGGCAATATCTTCTGTAAGTTCTTAGATATCAGCCCAAAGGAGATAGGTTATAAAATTTCTATTATGTTGGCCTTTCTGGTACTCCTGCTTGGCAGTACATCATTGGCTGCATAAGGAAAAAAAATGCAAATAATAGATTAGGAGGCAGTTTTCTGGTTCCTTTTACAACAACCAGAGGATATTGTTGTTGACTGGAGTATCAAAAAAAACCCTCCTATTTAGTGCTTTCATTCTATGATTTTTAAGAAATATGTCAGAGAACTGTATCCTATTCTTTTATGATTTCCCTGCTGTTTGTTAATGAGGAATCTCTAGGTGGCTTTACATTATTAGTAAAATGGACATTTAATATATTCCCATAATACCACTTCTGTAATCCATTTAACCCTTCATCAGGTGCAACTGATCTCACAGATTCATTGCACACAAATTTTCAAATATCTAACCGTTAATTTAAGTTTCATGACTCATTGCTTCCGTATATTCCCCCTCTACCGTAACCTATCGCCAGTCATGTTTGTAACTTAGTAAAGACGTATTTCATAGCAGCATCTTTGTGTGCAATGAATCTGTGAGATCAGTTGCAGCTGACTGAGGGTTAAGGCAGCTTTTCTTTTTTCTTTTCTTTTTTTTAAAGATTTTATTAGGGAATCAGGGGAAGGGGAACAGACAAGTCGCTGTTGTCTCTGTTCTTCAGTCTAGTCATGGAGGACGCCGCCCCACTGGCCCAAGCTGGCACCATCATTGCGCTCTTCCCAGGCGAGGCAGATCAGTTGCCGGCCTCTGGACTGCCGCTCACAGCAGCTGCTGGCCACTCACACTGGCTGCTGGCTACACACGGTAGCCCATGGCAACCCACTGCAGCAGGGGCTGCAGCCCATGCCGTCACCGGTGACCCACAGCTGCCCAGCTCCAGGTCGAGCTGTTGCCCAGCATCCCAGCTGCAGAGGGCAGCGCCACCGGCCCTCACATGTGGGATCTGAACCTGGGCACTCTGGCATCCCAAGCCAGCTCTCAACCAATGCGCCACTCGGCCAGCCCAAGGCAGCTTTTCTTAGCATGGGTCTGAGTTGTAGGGCATGATTTGACCTGTAAAATATTGAAATTGTGTATTAAGTCATGACAAGGTGTCACTTTACTCTTACTGCCTGTCGTTCATTCAGCCATTTACTCATTCAGCACCTATTTTTTGAGTTCCTTCAAAATGCCAGGCACAATTCTTGTGTACTATGTGTACAATGAAGAACAAAATAGAACATGCAGATGGAATACACTAATGTACTTTTGTTTCTAATGTTAACAGGGCATTTATAGTGCTGTGCTCCTTTGGTAAAACTCAAAATATCAATAGTGTTTTAATAGGTGTTCATTTAACACAGATCTCATTTTGTGACTTGGGAGGTAGTTCTGAATTCTATAAATGTACAAAGCTTGTAGAATAAATTGACCTTGGTTCTTTATCTTTATCCTGCATAACATGTTACCTACTTTTTCAAATGTGTTGTTTATATGATCATTGTATACTTGTCTCTCTGTTGACGTTTGAAAGTGTATTTTTATTTAAGTATTCTCTTATCTGTCCATTCCTTTATTATTAAACACACATTTACTGGGTTGTGCTAGACACTGAAATTACAATGAGGAAGAGGACAAATGACTCCTGTCTGCTCTTATGAAGCACATTCTGAGAGAGGAGATAGATGATCAATACATTTTGATGGGAATAATTACAGAACACGATAAGCACCAGAAGGAAATAAACTGCATTAAGATAAGGTGGGAAAGGAGGGTGAACAAGAGGTCTTTCTGAAGGAATGGTATTCACTGACACCCAAAAGATAAGAAGAGTCAGACTTGCACATCATAAGACAAATGTGAAGGTCTTGGAACAGTGTGGTGAATTATGGAAACTGAGAGGAGTTCAGCATAATTGGAGCGTGGGAGAGAGAAGTGAGTGGCACGTAATGATATCGGAAAAGCCAGCAAGAACTGGGCTCCCAGGACCACTGGCTATTTTAATAAGCTTGGATTTTATTTTAAATGCAATAGGGAGCCTTTGTAGGGCTTCAGACAGAATATGATATGATCTTCTTTGTGTTTTGAAAAGATCACTCTGTCGGCTATATGGAAAACAGATTGGATGGGGATGTGAGAAGAGGCAGGGATGACTGTTATGACTGGAAGGGATTGTTGTGATTAACTAGGCTTACCGTCCCCAGCACTGAGATCCTTACGTCACATGTAGGGGCCTCTGCTGATATTCCACAGTGAAATATTTAAGCTTGTCTTCTCTGTGACTGATTAAAGTTCTTCATGATACAATGTGGGACCACTATACCTTGTTTGCTTGTATTCGTATTTTTGAGTATTTTCTATACCTGGCCTTATTACATTGCCCTTGGCAGTTTTCTTCTCTTTCACACCTGTTTTCTTTAGTGGTAAATATCAGAATTGTACCTGGCAAGGGTTCCAGATACAATTTTTGAAACCATACTGTTAGGGTTTTACTATGTACTTGTGATCCACTTTCATCTATCACATCTCCCAAGATGTTTAGTAATTCATTTAACAAATAAGTCTTTCAGATATAGGTACTTGTCTTATCTTTCCATGTGTATAGACTATGATATTCTGTACCCACACTCCATTTTTTTTAGTCATATAGACAAGTTACTTACATAATTTTAATTCTGACCTAGTGTCTAAATACTAGTTACTTCTTTTTCGTCTTGGGCAGTTTGCACAACTCATGACTCATCATCGTGGCTATTCATGGGTCTGTCCTTAGAGAATGGCACCATCAGGTTCCTGGCTCCTGACGTGGATATTTAATATAATAATTACTCTGTCTGCACCCTACATAACTAATCGCTGTTAGATGCACGTGCTGGCTAATCCAGTAGCCACCAGCCAGCCACGTATGACCATGTAAGTTACGTAAATGAAATTAATTAAAATGAAATAAAGTTCAAAACTCAGTTCCTCAGTCACATCACTAGCAAATTTCAAGTAATCAAATGCCACATGTGATAAGTGGCAACAATATTGACCAGCACAGACATATAACATTTCTATCATTGTAGAAGTTTCTATTGGACGGGGCTGCTCTAGACTGTACTGTTTTCTGTGTGATATGGAATGATGTTTTAAATCCTGAAAATAATAATCACCTTTTTATCTTTGAATCATCCAGGACTGTCCTCTATCGTAAACTGCATGAACTTTATAACCTGAAAACATTTTGGAAATGAAATGATAGAACTTGCTTATTCAACTGTTTCTATATGCCTCAAGTATTTTTGCTAAAGGCATTATGTCAATAATGGTTGGAAAGGTTTTTGTTCCAGTCAGTAAAAGCAGTTTGGATTGGAGGTTCCATGTCTCTATCCACAAGTGGTCTCTACCCACAAGTACCAGGAAATCACTTCATATTACACTGATAAGACAAGTTCTTTGGAAAACTGCTTTAGTTATTGTTCCATAGTAAATATTATAAAATATTTATTTATTGGATTTACTCACTTCCAGAGAATTTTGGCAATGGCATCATTATTGACACCCCTTTAATTGGAATAAGCCGGACTGCAATAACCTAAGAGTGACTTAGAAATATACCCTCATCTAAGTTCTTGAGTAATTTGATTAGTCTTAGGAAATAAGAAAACATTTGTACTGGAACAAAGAGTTTTGACAGATTATTGCCGAGTTTCTTGTCATTTTGAATTTACTTGAACTTCAAGGAAACAAGCATAGTTTCTCTTTTTATTAATACAGTGCAGGAAAGCTATGTGTACAATGAAGAAAGTAGAAAAGCGAGAATGATGCCATTAGATTTTTTTGTCATTATATTCCTGATATGTGAATTTAATTAAAAATGATATACCATACCTGTTTCAAGTATAAAACATCACAGTGTAATTTCTTGTTTTTTTTTAGCTGAGCCATCCTGTCACCTGTTGGCAGCTCAGTGGCAGCTCAGCTTGGGCCATGATTCGAACCGGCAACACTGTTGCTCAGAGCTCAAATTCTAGAGCTAGCTCTTAACCAACTGAGCCACTCGGCCGGCCCTAAAACATCACAGTGTAATTTCTTAATGCTAAATGTTCCTAATATATTTTTATATAGTGCTATTAAATACTTAAGATAACTTCCAGTGTGAAATAAGACATAGATTTCTTACACCAAGCATGTTTGTTTCTCCCTTATTTATTATAATGCTGTGTTCATTTTCAAATTATTTTACTCACAATTTATTGTGGTTTTTTTTCTCTATTTGCATTTTTGGTACAGTATTATTGGGAAAATTGTACAATTTCAGTCATTTCTAGTATGGCAATTGTGATGGCCTCAATAGAAGATTGTTTCTCCACAGGGGTATAGGAGACTAAAAACCCAAATTGAAATAGAATAGAGTACAGATCATTTAAATATCAAAGGAACTAAAAATATTACAATTGTTAAAAAAATAGTTTTGTTTAGTTATGGCATAAAACATTTGTTCCTCAGCCAAAAGTTTCCACCTGAAAGACCAAATAGTACCCATAGTGCATGTTTTAACCTGAGAGCACCTTATCTGTATTCATAAACTATGAATTTTTTGTACTGTGGAGACTTTTAACTGATTTCCATAAATGTTAATCTCATCTCTTTCAATAATTAATTGGTCTTATAGATATTAGTCCTTCATAATCATTGTATGATAAGTAAAATTATTTATCTGGTTATCAGTAACCAGATAAATTATCAGCCAGCAGACTGAGATTAGTCTCTTTATAGGAAACAAAGTTTGTTTAAAATGTTTAAGTATAATCTTCCTCTTCTCTGGGGTTCAATGAATAATTGCTGTAGAATAAAGAGAAGAAATGACAAAGTATTTAATACGGTGAAATTTGAATTCCATTAACTTAACGTGTTCTCACCACAAATAATGGTTCTTAGAACAATTATTGCAGCTGCTGCACCCAGGAAACAAAGAAAAGAAAAATCAAATTGTGTGCATTTTGATATTGGTCATGGTGGAATTAGAGATGGGTGTGGGCAGAACGGGTATAGAGATTGGGAAAAAAATCAAGTGTGTATTGTTCCTTTCCAGGTGGCTGCTTCTTTGGTTGTGTTGTGGCTACTTAATAAGTGAGTATTCCATGTTCTATTGTGGGTTGTATTTTGTTTCTATTGATTATTTGGGTCTTATTAAGTATTGTAACATCCACTGTGCTTCATTTTTCCACACTATTATAGTAGTGGAAAATCAAATTATTTTGTTTAAAATTGTGAGCACGGCAGTTCCTACAGCTCTTTACCAATTTCTAAAGGATTTAGCTGTGTTTAGTTGCCATAAAATGTAATGAAAATATTTAAAACAACATTATGCCTTAGTATTTTCTCTGCATACTTAATAAAGATCACTTTTATCTGTTCCAGTGCTGAAAAATTTAATCACTTTTTTTGCAGTAGTAAATCCTTAAGATTAAGAGCATAAGCTCTGCTAACCAAATGTTTCTTTAGACTCAAGTTCAGTTTCATTTATATATATATATCGGAAATTCAGTGGGGAGGTTTGGTTGCTGAATAACAGTTTTCCTTTGCTTTACAGAACATCTCCTCAAGACAAAGGGAATAATACCAACAGCACAAATAGCAGCTACCCGGTTATTGTCACCAGCACCAGCTTCTATTATGTATTTTACATTTACGTGGGAGTAGCTGACACTTTGCTCGCTCTGGGACTCTTCCGAGGCTTACCACTGGTGCATAATCTCATCACAGTATCGAAAATCTTACACCACAAGATGTTACATTCTGTTCTTCATGCACCTATGTCAACCCTGAACACCTTAAAAGCAGGTACTTGACTAGGTGTACAACATGAAACCACTGATCCACCCTCCAAAGGGCCTGTGATTCACCTGGTTTTATAGTGATAGTGTTGGCTTTGCATGGAGGCATCTGCCCCTTTGTTGAGCTTTCTTATGACTGGCATGCACATTTCTCATACACTGTAGGCTGTCAGATATTGTTGCTCCTTGTATTTCTTTTCTTTTTTTTTTCTTAAAGATTTTTATTGAGGAATTGGGGAGGGGAACATTGTGTTTTTTCAGGACCCATCAGCTCCAAGTCAGGTTGTTGTCCTTCGATCTTAGTTGTGGAGGGCGCAAGCTCAGCTCTAAGTCCAGTCGCCGCTTTCAATCTAGTTGTGGGGGAGCATATTCCACCATCCCATGTGGGAGTTGACCTGGCAACCTTGTTGTTAAGGGCATATGCTCTAACCAACTGAGCCACTTGGCTGGCCTCACTCCTCATATTTCTGTATCAGCTAATTCAAGTAGCTCAGTTTGTTAGAAGCAGTGCTGACGGCACTGCAGTCAGAAAGCCAGGCTCTTCTGGGTCATTGCTCTCTACTGAGATGCTTGGTCTAACCCCTTCAAGGAATCTTTCCTTTATTTAGATTTCTTTAATGAAATTTATTGGGCTGACAATGGTTAGTAAAATTACATAGGTTTCAAGTGTAGAATTCTGTAATACATCATCTATATATCACATTGTATGCTCACCACCCAGAGTCAGTTCTCCCTCCATCACCATATATTTGACCCCCTTTACCCTCTTCTACCACCATCACCCCCCGCCCTCCTTACTTTCTGGCAACCACTAAACTGTTGTCTGTGTCTATGAGTTCTTCTTTCTTGTTGCCAATGTTGAGTATTCTTTTAAAAAGAAGAAGATATGAAGTGATCAGGAAAATATAAAATTCTTGTGCTGACAGTCTTTTGATGGGTAGAATAATTTAGTTTCCTGTAATTGTTCAAAGACAATCACATAAATTTGTTCCAGGTTTGTTTGTTTTTTATCTTTTTCTTGTGTTTTCTTTGGGGGGGTGAAGGTGGGGAAGTAGGTGGTGGTGAAAATCTGAAATGTATTTAAAAAGTATTTTTGACACCATCATAGAGGTTGGTAAAGGCTACAGGCTTTCAATTGTAAAATTAGTAAGTCCTGAGGATTTAATGTATAATATATGATTACAATTGATAACACTGTACTATATAATTGAAATTTACTCAGAGAGTAAAATGTAAACATTATCACACACACAAAAAAAGGTAGATATGAGAGATGATGGATGTGTTAACTCGATGGGAGGACTCTTTTCACAATGTGTACATATATCAAAGCCTCATGTTGTACACTTAAAATATCTTACAATTTTGTTTGTTCCTCAATAAAAAATAAAGTCACAGAAAGAAAGATTAGTGAAATAAAGGGACCAAAGATTTAAAAAACTAACGACAATAAGGTGCATTGAAAGTAATCAATTCCATTCATTTCACTTTAGACAAATTCACACCAGCAGCTGATGTGAAAAGATGAATGAGGCACAGTCCTTGCCCTAGAAGAAAATGAAGAGGCGGTAGAGATAGAAGCATTTGATTAAGCAAAGAATACTCGTAAATTCCAAGATTGAGATTTTTAGAAGATTTGTATCTACAAATCTCAAGATAAGAAATATCAATCCATCAATTTTTTTTTGCTAACAAAATTTCAGTGTTATTATATTTAGGAAGATCTTTATATTTATTCTTTGTATTTAGTGTGTCACTTTATAATTTAGTGTGTCACTAAAGCTTTGCCTCATTTGGATATAATCATCACCACTAGTGATTTTAAAGCTAGAAGATTTTAAACCTAAAAGGGAATGTCAGATTACCTTGGTCCAGTGATTTCATTTTTGTATGGAAAAACTGAGACCCAGAGAAAGTAGAATATTTGTCCAAGTTTCCAGCCATCAGAAATGGGCAATGAGACATAATGGAAAAAACACAGGCATTGTTTGAGGCCTGGCTTGTCCCCATAAGAGTGATGATCACAGGCAAGTTATTCTTCTGAGCCTTGCCCCCACATCTGAAAAACGGGGGTCTTGGAGGATCATTGTGAGAAACAAGGCAATCGACTTGCCTTTCATGTAGCCTACATATATATGTCAGTTCCCCAGTGTCGTTCCCTTCTTGGGGCACTGTTCCCACAGAATGGAATGTACACTTTCCATTCCCCTCTTCACATCTCAGAATTGCTCATTTCCTTAAACACTGCTCATAGTTGGCTCTGAACCTTCTCTCTTTCATATTTAAATGGGTAGCATTCGTTTCATTTTCTCATGCATCTTACTTTCCAAACCTTAATCCACTTGTAGGATGATTCAGAAACATCTGTTTTTGCATTTCTCCTTATTTATGCTCCTGAGAATGGAAATCTCAAGGTGATCTTACAACATCTAGATGTCTTTTTCCCACCCCTACCTGCAGTCCCAATTTCAGTCTGCAAGGATGGTGCTTTCTTGTAAAAACCATTGCTATTGCTGATTTATGATTCATTCATTCTCATTATGTTGCCCAGAGAGTCTCTGCTATACTTAGTAGCAACCAGGGCTTCCCTGCCTCATGTGCACTTCACTTTCTCCCGACATGCCCTTCTACAATTGATCGTTCACCTTGATTTTCTCTGACTCCAGGTCTGATTCTCCTATGTTGCTGTTTAAATAATTTTAAGACACACAGACATATAGTAGGTGCTCAGTAAAGTATGTTGAATAAATGAAAGTGTGAGTGCATATTCCCAGAGGATGCTGCCATTTGAAATACAATAAGCACCACCAGAATGATATTTTTTCACCAAAGTGAACTTTCATTTTCTGAACAGTATATGAGTAAATTCATAGGTTAATTATAGTTTCAATTTTTGGTTAATTTATGGAAAAATGTACAATTATGTCTAAATATGCTAGAGGGAAATGTTCTTAATAAAGGCTAAGAGATAGTGACTTAAATCAATCAATATGCATCAAATAATTCCTACATCTGAGGCTTTTTGCTGAGGGCTATGAGTGATACAAAATAAATACGGCATGGTCCCACTGACCTCTAGCAATTTACAATCTAGAAAAACAGATAAGACATGTATACAAGTGACTTTGATATAAGACATGGAAATGGTCATTAAAACACAGAGGCGCTGACAAGGTGTGTTAAAGGTATTAAGTGTGTCCCAAGGAGGAAGGGATTAGTTTGCGCTGGAGCAAATACTGATGCTTCCTTGCAAGAAAGGCATTTGAGTTGGGCCAGGAAGGTGACATAGATTTTGACAAGCAGAGATGAGGGGAAAGGATTTTCAGGCAGAGGGACTCACATAGGACAGGCAGGGAGGTAGGAGAGTGTAGAGGGCATTTAAAAGAGTAAACTGAGATGGGGATTTAATTATAAAATTAAATTAGTCACTTAAAGTATGGCATGGGGAATATAGTCAACAAAATTATAATGACTATGTATGGTATCAGATGGGTACTAGGTTTATCGGGGTGATCACTTTGTAAGGTATATAAATGTGTAATCATTGTGTTGTACACTTGAAACTAATATACTATGGTATGTCAATTAAAAGTAAAAATAAATTTTAAAAAGAATAAACCAATTTGGCTGAAACAGGATATTTGAGTAGAGGGTGCTTGTATTAGCTAGGTGATTTAAGGCTAAATCATGAAAGGTATTAAATATTAAACTTAGAATTTTGGACTTTATCCTGCAGTTAATGGGGGGGTGAATGATAAGATTCAATATCACTTTGTACAGTGTTATATTTTATCTAATTATATATTTCATTCCCCCCACCCCCCACCTCCCCCCAGTCAACGAATTCCTCAGGGACAAGGAGCGTGGCTTATTCCACTCTGTCACCTCAGTGCCTAGCGTTGTGTCTGGCACATAGTCAACATTTCCTATGTAACTCTTTTTCATCGAAGGAAAAAAGTACCAGACTTATAAATGTGGGTCTAGATGTTAGAAGACAGGCTGAAGCTTAGATTGCTAGTGAAGAGAGTGAAAAGAGAGGACATGGCAAAGGAGGCCCACGTGGTGGGGACAGCCATGGGCAGGGCAGAGATGTGTCTGAAAGGTGTGGAAGTCAGAGAAGGAGAGGGGAGCTGGACGGTGTGGGCTGCAGCTGTGAGGGAAGGAGAGCACATCTGGGGAATTACACACTCAGGCTTGCAAGTGTGAGACTGAGTAGGATGAGTGCCCATTCCTGACATAATTTGTGATAAGGGCTCTACTAAAGACATAGTTTTTGCCTGGATCTTACAGTAATCTGTATTTTATAAAGGTTTAAAAGTGGGAGACAATAACTTGAACATATAGTTAGGTACTTAGAACCTTTGTACATCACTAAAAGTTTCTCAGTCCTTATTTATCTGACTAAATGCTGATTATTTGAGTTCTGAATGGTTCTGCAATGACCCAAATTCATCATATTTATCAAATGTTGATATGTCTTTTTAAGATTGCTGGTTTTTGAGGAATTTATCTTCTTTTATTTTATAGGTGGGATTCTTAATAGATTTTCCAAAGATATAGCAATTTTGGATGATCTTCTGCCTCTGACCATATTTGACTTCATCCAGGTTTGTAAAACTCAGTATTATTACATGTCTTTGCAGTTGTTCATACTTTAAAAAATAATTAGTAAAAGAGGTAAATGAGTTTTTGCTTATTTTTCGTTTGATTGAGAGTTGAAGCCCTATTGTCAATACCAAAAATCTTCAAAGGATGCATAACTTTAGTAAATTCAGTGATAAGTCAAAACTCTTTATCTGACCTAAAACAAACGGAATTCCACACTTAGATGTAATTGTCTATTGGGGGGGTGATTTGAGAAGTATATATGACATACCATGTTCCCCCAAATCACTGTCCTTGAAGTATGGTATTTTTGACATTGGTTTCACTATTTGGTGGAAGTCACCCACCTCCAAAGGACACGTGTTAAATGAAGACCAGCTCCTTGGTGGGCTACAGTTTCAACCAGTCTCAGCCATAAACACTTCGGCACCGATTAGCCAGCTAATAACCTCACAGCCAGGACCATGATGCAGAGACAGAAGTGCAGACACATTTTCAAGAAGGAGAAAGAGAAACTCAGGAATGGTGAGGACTAGCCCTGGGTGACTGACCTGAAGAGGCCTGCAAGGCAGCCTGACTCTGAGTACATGTCTCTCAGGTGGGATGACCGGCTGGCGATGAAAGTGAAGAGGGAAAGCAGGGCTGGAGGTGAACGGGAGCTTGGGGATGCCGCCTTGGGTCTCCATTCATGACAGGACTTCAGGAGGGTTGTGAATGAATAACATTGGCTCTTGGACTGGCTTTGAAAACAGCTTCCTGTCTGGATTTAGGTTGAGCCCCAGAGAGCAAATGCCACAGTCTCAGCAATGTCCTTGCACAGACAGTTGGAACAGGATGCAGCCCATCCTAGGATTGAGTCATTCTTTCCTCCCTCTCACTTTCACACCCCACTCCAATAACAATACTTTATTTGAGAGAAACTACACAACAAAATAAGGGCTACCACATATGTGTGTACACACAACCAACATTGGCAGGTGCAGAAAAACCAGATTGTCGGTTTGCCTCATGTGAAATGATTGGCACAAACGCATTAGCTGTTCCAAGTAAACTTTAACATTTTGGATTTCCTTCACTTGCTCTGTTTGAGGATATAACTCAGCAGCAGCTGCTGGAAAATTTTTTGTTTTTCCTGTTAATATATATATTTTTATTGTGAAATAAACATTTTAAAAAATCAGTTTCAGCTGTACAACACAGTGCAATAGTTATACTTTTTACTCCTCAAAGTGACAAGCCCCCTCCCCCAATCCGCCGCCCCACTTCCCCTCCCAATAGCATACATATCTATTACAATTCCCTTGATTCCACTCCCACACTATACTCCACATCCCGTGACTATATATATATATATATATATATATATAT